AAAAAAAATTAGCATTATTATAATATCAATAATTTAAGTATGAATTTCAATAATTATATAAACAGTTATGAAATTGAATGCATTCAATGCATTTTTTTTATTCTTTGTACTGGAATTAATTTAATATCTAATTCGTAGTCGATTTTTGTCCAATTCTTATTTTGTAATTTGCACTTGAATATTTTCATTTTAATGTATTATTATTGTATTTAGCATTAAATGACAAAAGAAAAAAAAAAAAAAAAAAACGAACCCTTTTTGTAAAAAGAATGACATAAAAGGATGAAAATGATAATAATTTCAATGCATTCTTTCATATTATAATTTTTGCTAAGAATTTAAAAACAAAAAAAAAAAAAAAAGATCAAATAAATTTGACATTTTGATGAAATTTTTCGTTTTCATTGAAGTGAAAACTTGACTCATAATATAAAACAATTGGCAATGTTATTAGCAAAAATTTTATAACTTCAACATTTCCATTCATTATATTAGATTTTTTCTTTTTCTTTTTTTTTTTCTGTTATTAATTATAATATATTTATAATTAATAACAGAAAAAAGTTTAAAAAGTGAAAAAAAAAATTATGTAATAATAAATTTAAATTTAAGGCAACTTTTCTTTTTTTTCATTTTCAAAAATTCGCTTTTCATTTATTTCTGTTTTGAATAATTTAAAAAAAGAATATAATTCATATGTATTTTATTAATGAAAGCTTGAAATATTATGTTTCTATATTTGCTGTTACTATAAAAAGAATAATATAATTAATAAGCAAAAGAATGTTATATTCAAATTAGAATTAAAAAGATAACAAATATTAATTTATTATTTCATTTCATAAAATAGTTATAACAGAAATTATTATTAATATTGCAATAAAATTTTCCTAAATTATATAATTATGCTACATTTGCCTTGAACTTAATTACATTCTAAAATTGACTTTGCAAAAAATCGATCAATTAAAATTTTCAAATTACTACAAAACTAATTTATTGGAATATGAATTATGTTGCTGAAGAAAGTTTGTAATTAATTAATATTTTATATAGTATTTAAAATTAATATATTTTATATAACAGTATTTTATTTTTTATTTATTCATTGGATATTCCCATATTTCTTTTTTTTTTGTTTTTTTGTTTTTTGTTTTTTGTTTTTTTTTACAATTTTAAGTAAACTAACTAAAAACAATTAATTCAATTTTTTCTTTGCAAGACTAAAAAATTTTCTTGAGATTTTTTCTGTAATAAGTCAAATTTGAAAATTTTTCTTTTTATTTAATTAAAAAATTGAAAATGCTTTTTTTTTTTTTACTTTGAAGCATTTGCAACAAACCTAAAAAAATATTCAATAGATTGTACAATCGAAGGGAATATATTTGTGAAAAATTTACATTGGAAATTATTTCAAACAATGAATTTCAAAATTATAAATTTCAAAAACTTCCATTTTTTTTCCATAATCGAAATAATATAGCGATTAATTTTTTTCTTCTCTTTTTTTTTTTTTTTTCAATGTGTTATTGAATTGAATTATTTTTTTTGATTAATAATATTAATCCTAAAAATTAAAAGTTTTATTATAGTAAAAATTTATTATCAGAAGAATAATAATGTAATTGTTGAATTGCTGAATTTGTTATTTGTCTTATATTATGTTTTGAAATTAAAATTTGGTAATTAATTGAGGAGAAAATAAAATTTAATTAAAAATAATTATAATGAGAGTTGTCATTACAATATGTTAAATATTCATTTCATTTCTTTTTTTTGTCATAAGCAAAAATAAAATAAGAAAAAATTTGAATGATTTTTATAATTTTAAATATTGCTAAAAATAATTAACATTTATTAAATAAATGAATGTATACAAAAATGAAGAGAAGAAAAGGTTTTTGCAAAATTACTTTTTTATTTATTAAAAATTAAAAGTTTCAAAAAAAAAAAATTTGGACTTTTCTAATATTTATTTACAAGACAAAATTTTGCTTTACAATTAAATTTTTAAATCTTCACATATAGCATAAAAATACATAGAAATAAAGGAAAAATATACTTCTACTAATATTTCATTTACTAAAAAAAAAAAAAAAAAATATTAATAAATGGAAAATAATATTTTTTTTAAAAAAAGAAGCAATTATTCAAAATATTCAATCGTAAAAGTTTTCCAATCACTAATATCTACAAAAAATTATCAGAAAAAAAAGTGTACGCTAATTTTATTTACATTAATATAATACATAGATATTTCTTCCATTTTTAATTTCACAAATTTTATGATTCTTTTTTTAATCAAATTTTTCATTTTATTTCACAAGAAAAATAATTTTCCTCTTTATTTTTATTTTTTTTTCATTCTAATTATATATTATCAGATCTTATTTTTTAACAATGATAAAACATAACATGGAAATAGAATACGAATCATTATAGGTAGTGATAATAGTAAATATAATGATAAATTATCAATTATTAAATTTCAAATTAATATATTGCATCCATCTAATGAAAGGATCATCAAATTAATGGATCCCATAAATTTTTACATTTTAATTTATCAAATTTTGTAATATTAACTTTCTTTCATTTCATTTTTGTTTTTTTAATTCAGTATATTCTTACTAATTTATTCCATCAATCAATTCAAATGCAAAGATATTTTTTACCTTGCATATATCATTTAAATAAACAAACATTACATCAAACTAATTATTCCACTTCAATTTTTTTTTATTATTAAACTATTCCTTCATAATTAACATAAATATTGATTTCGATAAAATATTTTTGATAAAAAATTTAAATATCCTTATTTTGTTTACTAATAAACTATATAAACAATAATTGCGGAGTTGTGATAACAGTTTACATTATCTACTTCAACAACGAAGATTATAACATAAACTTAAAATAACTGAAATTGATAAAAACGTCACATCGCGATTCTTTGTTTCCATTTCAAAACGTAAATCATCTTGCATAACCTTCACTTTATATTATAAAAATCCTTTATAAAAAACTTTTTTTAATGTCGCCGTACAGCTAATCATTCTTCGTCTTCAAAAAAAAAAAAAACTTTATAATTCTCTGTCTTTCTTCTTTCTTCTTCAAAAACTTTGAAATTAATCTCACAGAATGCTGTTTTTAAAATGCTATCCAGAATGTGTAAATGTTTTATAAACTGCTCTGTTGTAAAATATAAAAAAATTGCAATAAAAAAAAGTAATAAATTATCATTTATTCTGACAAAAAAAACTTTTTTTTTTTTATCTCAAATAAATGATATTTTGAAAACAGTGAAAAAACATTTGACAGAATCGAATGAGGCATTTTCCACAGAAAGTTTCACTTATTTCAAAACAAAAAAAAAAAAAAAAAAAAAAAAACTAACATAAGAATTAAAAATAGTGATAATGAAGGAAAAAAAAAAAGCATTCACAGCAAACAAAAAGAAAAAAAAAAAGGGAAAATAAAAGCGATAAAATGAAAAGAGACAAAACAAATATACTAGAAATAAATGATACAGTAAAAAAAATGAATGTCATACATATATGATGATAAAATGTGATTGCAACATAAATATCACACTTTCAATTTAACAATATCATAAGCTATGTTTCGTTCTTGTGAATTTGCTTACATATGTATATATATTCTCGATATAATAATTGTGAGGTTTCAAGCTATATAACAATGCACAAATTCGATTTGTTCTTGGTAAAAATACGAAAGCAATTACTGAAAGCATACACACAAATTTAAAACAAACAAAAAGATGAACAAATTCTCGTAATTATAGAGAAAAAATTTCAAATATACGAGGAAAAATTTTGCTAATCCTAAAAATGTTACATCTTTTATGGCTTTATTTTCAGTAGTAGAAAAATTTGAGTTTTTTAAAATTCCTATTCAAATGAGCGATGTTGTAATAATAATACTGGAAATTTTTAACTAAATTATTTATGTTTTAATTTTAGTTTAAAAAAAAATTTTCTCAAAAAATATGCATCAAATCATTTTAATATGAGAAATCCATTCATAACTAGTACTACTTGAACCAAACCAAAAAAAAAAAAAAAAAGTATTGCAGCATCTATTACTATGACAGAAAAAGTCATAAGTTTTAACAAACACACACAAAAAAAAAAAACTTGCAGTTCATTTTATTGCAAAGTTTTACTTATGCTCATTTTTTGGTCACATCAGTTAGCTGTGACAATTGAAAATGATAGTCGGTTTCTTGTTGCAATACAAAAATTGAAAACGAAAGCTGAAGATAAATCTTCAATCTCCATTCAATTACATATAAAAAAGAATGAAAATAAATAAAAAGGACAAAAAAAAAAAAACTAAACAAAAACGTAACAAAAGACACAGAATCTAACTAATACACGTAATGAATGACGACAAGAATTTCGTATAATTTAAGGATAAATTTTATCAAATTTGAGCCTAAAAAAAGAAAAAAAAAAGATTCTTGTCATCGTTGTATTAACAAAAACTTTGCTAAATATGATCAAAAAAGTAAGAACTATTAATACACACACACAGACACATTATTTGATCTAACATTCGGTCATCACTAGAAGATGTAAGCATTTGCTTGATTTTTTTTTTTTTTTTTTGCAGAAAATGTTGAATATGCAAGTTGAAGTGGACATATGTTTACATCCTTGAGTTATCTAAGTTAGATTCAACAAAAAAGAAATTAATAACTATTGTAAAATTAGCTGTTTAATTTTTCACAACGACCAAAAAATTATTCCGTCTTGCCAAACTGATACCAAAGCGAATCCATAAATAATATGAATTTCCTGAAATATGCTAACAATACAAGCTACAAAAAAAAAAAAAAAAAATCAAATAGTTTCATAAATCTATGAAGAATCAATCACCCTTCTCCTTTTATATATTGTATGAATTCCTAATGTATAACAATATAATTAAATATTAGCATCGAAAAAAGAAAAAATTGAAAACTTACTATTATTTCAGTTCGTTCTATCATTTGGATCTCGTCCCTCACGATCCGACAATATGTGATCCGGTGATAAACCATCTGCATAACGCTTCCACATCTTATGCAACAAACGCTCCATATCCGAACAATATTGACGAACATTAAACAATGTTGATGTTGTTCGAGCTTTCCAAACTTTTGCACGAATTTGACTAAGACTAAAATTTATCTGTCTAAAATTCATTTTCTCTATAAAATTGCTATAATAAAAATAAGCGGAAAAAACGACATAAACAATAGAAGTATTCACTAAAAATAATATCAATTTTGGTTAGTTGACAGAAGTATAAACACAGTACTATCCAACAAAAAAAAGTGAAAGGAATCAATTTCTTTTTCAAAAAAGGAAAAACAAATTAAAGATTCGCGTATTATTTAAAAAATAAAATAAAAATGAGGGATATTTACTATTCTCGATCGGTGCCCAGTCTTTTTGCAATCTTGATATAATCTTCACGATCTTTTGCTACTAATTCCGGTACACCAAGAGCGTACAATTGACTTGATGCAACACGTGATGCTAGTGTTTCCACTATAAAAAGAATAGATTCAATAAAATGCATCGAACTGTTTTGAAATGAAAATTTACTACTGCATGAACTGAGAAAACTTTTCAGTTAAAAGCAATAATTTATTAAACATTTCTTTGATTATATTTGCATTCTTTGTCATCTCTGAATGCTATGCATTCAGGTATGCCAAGAGAGCGGACAGTTGACATGATCATTTAAGTTATTTGAAAAATTATTTATTTATTTTTTTGTTATATCGAATCACATTCTTCACCTAAAATTATAATCCAAACATTCCATGAGTAAAACAGATAAACATACATGGCATTGTGATCATTGGTGTCCCCGTCCATAAGATATCCATTCCAGTGGTGTGTCCATTACAAAGTGGCGTATCTAAGCAAACATCCGCAAGTTGACCACGTCGTACGTGTTCTTCCTTTGCAGCTACATTAGAAAATACAATGCGACGCGTATCTATATTCCGTTCCGCACAAAACCGCATAACATTTGGTTCTCCGTGATAAGGGAATCGAAGCAACCATAAAATACTATTTGGTACCTGGAAAATGGCTAACTATAAATCATTTGATAAAAAAAAAAGCTAAAATTAAATTCTAAATATTTGAGAACCATGAAAAAAGTGAAAAATAAACTACAGTTTAATATAGAAATCAAAGACTACAAATATTAATAAAACAAAATCCTTTAATTGAAATCAAACTAAAAAAAAAATCTTACCAATTTCAGGATGTCACACCACATCGATAGGGTTGGAGGATCGATTTTATACAGCTGATTGAAATTGCAGAAGACAATAGCATCATCAGGTAGTCCGTATTGTTGTCGTGATGTAACCAGGATGGTATGTGGTACTTCTTCACCTGTTGCTGCTTTTACATGTGTCTGAAATAGTGCATCAATACGACACTGTTGGCAACAAGAAACATTTATTTGACTATGTTTTGCCAGATCACTCTATTTTTAAACTTCTGAATATAAATTGTAGTTTCGTTTAATTGGCCGTAAATGTGCTATAAATCTTAATGCTAATTAACTCCTAAATTGATACAATGCAATAAGAGGAAAAAAAAAGAAAGAAAATACTTAAAACATAAAATGGAACACAAAAAGAAGGCTATATTCTATTTTAAATATTAAATTGTGTTAAACTGGTTAATGTAAAACTCCGCTTAAATTTGAAACAGAAATATGTAAAGGATTTATTTTACTACATTAAAGGGATTTCGAATTAAATCAGTCACTCACTTGATTCAAAGTAGTAAGACCATTCTGTACCGGTACACCTTCAACATTACCAGCAATCATACCAGAACCAATCATCTGTTTAAGTGGTTCAGTTGTTGGTACTTCAATTACTGGAAGCACCACTTCAGTCTTGATCATATCACGTTCTGGACCATGTGCCACTTCAGCTTCTCGAACAAATGGCTAAAATAGATTCTTTTTTTTTTTTTTTTTTGAAAGATTGAGCTCTACTCAACATCACTGCTCTCAGATATAATTTCAATTTGACAGCAATCAATATTTATTTTTTACTTTATGTTATTCTTTTCTATTATAAATTTTAAACACAGTAGTTTACAAAACCAGAACAGCAGTTTACCCTTACCTTGACTTCTGCTTTTGACAATAGCGGCTCCAAATTCACCGAATTCACAACTGTGACAGTTTCCTTGTCAATTGGGGTTGGGTCATTTTTCTCCTGCAAAAATTATTGATGATTTTTTCCAACTCACTCTCACTAATTTTTTTGAAAAAATCCGGAAGGATATTGAGAAAATATTATCACTTCGGAAATCATTTATTGAATTAATATGTCATTTGTCCAGAAATGCCTGTTAAGTGATAATAAAAACTAAAACAATACAGAAATAACAAAAACATACAGAAGAATGTAACATAAAACAAACAACGCTGCAAAACATACTTTAACAATTACTCGCTCAGTAAGATGCTTTAGCATTTGGGCATGATCACCAATAAAGAATGTATGAGGCATATATGCAAGTTTTTCACTATATGCATGAGCAAGTTCCAAAGGAGATGTTACCGAATCAGTAATTATATAATCCATAAATGGAGCACCCGAAGTACTCGGATAACCAAGCCACATCACCTGAAATCAACATCTTTATCAGCATTTATTTATTCATTGATTTTATCTATAGTAATTTTTTCTCATCCATTTATAAAAAACAGATCCAACATAAAATTCATTAGAAATATGGATAATTCATTTCTACGAGTACTCATAGAACGAAAATTTATGTTATTTAGTATTTATCAAAATGAATAAATCAAAGTGAATTCCAAAATTAAATATGACCTGGATGGGTGCTGGGCGTAATGCGAATATTTCATTGCGTGCACCTTTCGTATATCCATTCATATTGATCAAAATATGGATTCCATCATCATGTATGCGATCAGCTGCTTTTCCATTACATGTAATCTAAAAATTAATTTCCAATGTTTTTTAAAAATGCTAAAATTCCATTACAGTGAAATGAATATCGCAGGATAGCATTTATAGCAAAAAAACGAAATGATTATTCGTATGTAGAATATAAATTTCCATTTTTTTTTTAAATTCAATTTATATATATACCTGTGATAAATCAACGAAATGTTCTGACTCATTCATCAATTTTTGTCGGAAATTGGTACCATCATTTGGAGAAAGTGCATAACAAAACACCTAAAACAATTCCACATTTTTAATAAACGCTTTATGTTAATTCTAAAAACATTTAAATTGATTTTACTTTTTTATGAAAGATTTTTCTTCCTCCTATAGTTATAACAACAAAATTTCGATTCTTTTCTGTAAACTTAAATTTGTGATAAGTTATTCGAGAGAGAGATAACAAAAAAACACTTCACAGTTTAAACGAGCTGCCAATAATATATATGATTTTTACTTCAACATTTTCACGATTATGCATTCCCGGAATGGACTGCATCAAGTGACTGGTAGGATGATTGCCAAAATCAGACGATACATAACCGATTCGTAAACGTTGTCCTTTGCGAACGCTGTTTCGATCAGGATATATATATGGTGCTTTGTGACATATTTGGACCTAAAACAAAGATGATTATTTTTCATTAGTTAACTATTTTCAGTCCAATTTAACCGTTATATGCAAATTAAATTTCATAAACTAAATATAAAGTTAACATCAATACACATATCAAGCATACTTTAGAACTATTATTTTATGCGTGGAAAAAAATATCCCATCTATAGTTTTTAAACGTCAGAATTGAATAACTAATTCTCTAAATAACTGCTTTCAAAAAACCTATTTTAGGAACTACAGCATTACCAAGAGAGGAAAATACCAGATAAATTCTATCATGAACTGCTTTTTAGTGTTAACATTCGCGCTCCATTCATTATTCAGGATAATTCACATGTTTCATTAAAAAAAACGACAGAAATACCATAAATAGAAATATCATAAAGTTGGTAACACGATGTTGTATAAGTATCAGAATCCAAGACATAATTTCAAATCGAAATCAGTGAAAAGGAAATAAAAAAGTGACGTTACTTTTTCAATGCATAATTGTGCATGTTTTGCTGCAATAGCCATTCGAACAGCATGTGTTAATGGATAGAGCATTGAATGATGTGGATGTACTGATGGCAAACGTTTTTTTTGCAATTGGTCATCAACAATTGCTATAAGTTTCTTCATACGATTATCATAATCATTCCAGTCGCAAATAATCTGAAATTAAATATTCAGAATTATCACATTTTCAAAAGAAAGAAATCGGAAAATCATTATATTTAAGTAAATGAAATAAGGTAAGGTTTTCATAAAAATTATTTGATGTCTATGAGATTCTAGAAACAACACGTACAATATAGAAATTCTAGAAACAATATAAGAATTCGTGACATATTCGAAAAAAAAAAAAAAATGAAAACGAAAATAGGCAACAATCGACGCTTAAGAACTTTAGTTACTATTCTAATTGAAACTTAATTTCTCTCTACATATTCTAATAAGGTTATCCACAATGAAAAACAAAAAAAAAAAAGAAAAAAGTGCCACTGATCTCCTACTTTTTTCTCTCTCACCCTTCCTTCCACAATAGTTTAATCTCCTCAACATCTTTCATAAGACCTGGAATTTATATTTTAATAAAAAAATTAGATACCTGCAAACAATGAGCCAAGTTACAGAATGCGTCAGGAAAATCAGGTTTTAACTTGAGTGCTGTTGAGTAACTTTGAATTGCTTCAGGAACATTACCAGAATCCTCAAAATTTATGAATATAACTATGGCTAAAGGCAAAACATCTAGCTTTATATCAAAAGTAATTCGTAGAAAAAGCTTAATATTGAACTAATAAAGAATAACTAGAAAGTAATAAAAATTATTAACCTTATGTATGCTAGCCAAATTACTATGCGCATCAGCGAATCCAGGATTGATCTGTATAGCACGAGTATAACACTGTAATGCTCCGCCAACATCACCCATTTCTTTTAATGTATTTCCCATATTTGAATATGCATCAGCAAATGTGGGTGCTATACGAATTGCTTCCTTATAATGATTGATTGCATCTTGAAGTTTGCCTTGTTGTTGCAGTATCGATGCAAGATTACTATGTGCAGCAGCAAATTCAGGATAAATCTAAGAAAATATTAGTGAGAGTGAATAACTCCTCAACAATTTCTACTTCAGGAAAAAAAAAGTAATTTTTGAAGTTAAAAGTTCTAAATTTTTTCAAAACTATCAAAAATATTTACTCCATTTGTTTTAACATATTTTATACTAAAATTTGAGAAAAAAGTAGTCCACCATAACAGAATTCTGAGGAATTTCGGGAATCAATTCATTAAGGAATTCTTTTTAAGCTTAAAGCTAAAAATCTATCTTGAATAAGGAACTTAATATCATATGCAGTCTAATTATGGAAAATTTTTCAAATAAAAAAAAAGCACAATGAAACATGGTGAACATCTAACATTCAAATATTACCTCTAACGCTTTCAAATAAAGCCTTGTAGCATCCTCAATTTTTCCTTGTTCTCTTTTGATATTTGCTAGATTGTTTTGTGAATCAGCATGCGTTGGACAGAGCTAAAAATTGTATTCAAATATTTCAGCATTATTTTTCATTTGCAAATTTCTCTATTAAATTCAATTATGCTACGAGTTTCATTAATAAAAGGTCTATTCTAAAAATAGTAATAAATAAGAGTATCCTAGAGAACACAAGACATAAGTCATAAATGCATGCACAACACATAAAGATAATAAAATTATTCATACACTTAAAATATATTACTCATACGATAAAATAATGTATTAATTTTCATCCACCTAAAATTGCTGATGCGTTAATAACAAATCTTACCTGCAATGCTTTGTTATATGCAGCTTCTGCTTCGGATACCAAACCTTTTTCTTTTAAAGCATTGGCCAAATTGCAATATGCATCGGGAAAATTCGGCTGCAAATCGATAGCTTTTCGATACATATCAATAGCCAAATCGATAAGCCTAAAATAGACTTTTAGCAGTGTGTTGAATAAAAAAAAATTATTCCAGTTTGAATGCAAAAAAATAAAGTTTTTTCAGTTTGTACTGTGATTATCCGGCATGTATGATAACAAAATGTATTGACTGCGAGAAGAAAAAAAAAAAAAAAAACTTACGAGCCTAAAATTTAAAGAAAAGAAATACTTACCCTTGCTCATAATAAACACATGCCAGGTTTCCATGAACAACAGCATGATTCCCGGCCAAATTTAATGCACGCAAATAAGCAGCAACCGCTCTAAAATAATTTGTGTAAAAATAAACAAATGAATTTTTTAAACTGACCATGACCAAACACCATAACTTTAGAAAATGGAAATGATTCTGACAAATTTGATTTCCCTGTAGTGAAAGAAAATTTTGTCAATGGATGAAAATACTTTAAAAAGAAATGTATTAGAATCAACCCATAGTATCTTTAAGCAGATGGTATCATTAACTAACTAATTCCCACTTTACCGATAGCGTATTATAGATGAATCAGTTAAAAGTCATCTTTCTATTGATTTAAAAAGCATAAATGGAAGGAAAAAGTAAAGAAGATTACATCATCGGTAATTTTCTCAACTTATTTAACACTTTTCTCAGTACAGATTATAAGCATTAAAAAAAAATAAATTATAGAAAAAAATCTAAAATGTGTCCTTCCAATGAGTTGCAAAATATAAAATAAAGATTATTCCAAAAAATCATTTTCGAACAAGGAAAAAACAAATTATGTTTTGTGAAATTTGATCAAAAACAAAACACACCGATCAAAAATGCGTGCTTCTTTCAGTACATTACCCAAATTTATATAAGCATCCAGAAAATTTGGGTCCAGTTGAACAGCTTTCTCAAAATGATGTATTGCAAGCCAAATTTCTCCCTGGGCATTAAAAACGCAACCCAAATTAGACCAGGCAACCGCGAACTGTGGTTGTGTTTCGATTGCTTTCAGATAACAACCCTAAAAACATACAGTTTCTTATCATTACAAAATTCGATAAACTTATTTTTGTGCATTCATCTGAAATTTAAAAGCATATTGAATTCACAGAAAACTACAAGCTTTCTTATCTAAATCTTGCTTAATTTCATCACAATTTCAAAAATTATGTTAAAAAAGCATACCTCAAGCAAATTGGCCCATTACTTTTTTGTAAACCCAAACTGTGTTCATGGTAATGACAACCATTACGCACTTACCGCGACGTTTGCGCATTTTTAAAGACCAAAGTAACAGAAACAGACTGAGGAACCGGTAGATGTATATTACAATCAGAAAGAGAATATGAAAGATAAAAAAAAAAAAAAAAAAAAAAAAAAAAAAAAAACATCGCGCAAACGACGTAACATACTAATAACGCGATGACTACTGATAATAATAATAAATAATAATAATGATGATAATAATAATAATAATGATATAATAATTGCATCAACAATTCCGAACCGACTTTTAATGACTCAAGACTTACCAAGACCTAATTCAGAAATGGAATTCAGAAACTCTTAATCAAGAATAAGAGAAGAAAACATTCAGACGATAGCATAAGCCTTACAGCGATAATAAAAAGTGATAAAAGCGCAGCAAACAAATCACAAAGATTAAAACACATAATCATACCAAACGTCTTTATCTGCCACGCTGCTTTCCTTTCCGCGTAGAATTCCCCGTGCCTTTCAATATAGACTGTGCCATTTAGTAACGGAAAGCTGCATCCAAATCGACAAACCTACATTTGACCAAAAATGATCAGAAGAATTCTGTGCAACTTCCGTCATATCTGCCTGTTCAAAGATATACTGCATTTCCTTCTTCAGTCTTCTCATTTTCAAATATATTTTTCTGACGGTGTGTCGAAAGTTCCAAATTCGAAGAAATAAAAAGAAAATCGTCCTTTTTTCCAGGAACTATGTAGTATAGTCTAGTAATCACGTCAGATGATGCTGGAAAGGGTGAATTGTTTCTAGGATATGGGATTTGCTGCTTTTGTAATATTCATATAAATAAATCAAAAGCTCAAGCTATTTCTTTTCTACCAAAGCCCTTTTAGGCAATAAGTGTAAGTAAAATACAGTTATTTTATGCTACTCCAGTAAGCAAGATCACGTTCTGATCCAAATCACAACATACGTAAGTCAGAATGAAGCCAATAAAATAGAGAGTCTTTTCAATGCACCCTTTCCGCTACATGCTTAAAAAATAGATCTAACAATTTTTTCTTTAATACCTCGAACTGCCTCTCTTCGCCTGAGCCACAACAAATTCCAAGTTTGCTAATGATGAATTAATCGCAAAAACCCACTGAAAGAAACTTTTAACAACCCTGAATTTTGTTTCCGCTCCAATTCAAAATCGCGACTGTTATCATCAACACACCTCACAACGGAATGATCTCAGTAAGTTCAAGAAAGTACGTTCTCAGCAATTGGTTTGGGTACTGATGACAGCTTCAAAAGCAACGCTATCAAACACCTTGCAAATATCAAAAAATGATAATTTCAGGGAAAAGTGGCAAAAGTAAGTATTATCAGTTTTCGAAGACTAAAGTTATCGAAAACTTCAGTTTACTCATGCAATGTCAGAATTATTATGAATACTTATTAAATACTAGTTGCAAGATGAGACCAACGCTTCTAAAAACTGCCATCAGGATACACTGGTGACAAATTCAAAGATGGTTCAAAATAGTGAGAAACGGACATTCATTATGGTACACATATTCTTTAGTTCAATTGAAAATATTTCAAAATTATATGGCAGAAAAACCATAAAACTTGGAGAAATGAAACGAAGCTTCAATAACCATCTTTAAATTCATCCCGAACCGTATGAATAACGTCGAAAGAATGTGAACTCATGAGAACTGGCGAAAAATACTATTAAAATTTTAACCTCTGCCCAAATTCATATTTCAAAATTCCTTTTTCTTATCTTGTCTTTCCCTTTGTGCATCCTTCCTTAGCAATAATTTAAAAAAAAAAAAAAAAAAAAAAAAACATTTACCAGAAGCTCAGTAGAGTTCACAATTCCTTGGACGAAGCGAGCCTGCACATCGATATAGAGTGGAACCTATAGATTTGAAACTGACTGCTTTTGAAAAAAAAGAAGGAAAGAAAAAACAAACGATCGTTTTCGCTAGAAATGTGAGATGAAATTTAAGATGGGATAAAGCAGTCAGTTTCAGATTTACAATAAACAGTCTTTTTTTCGCGCGCGCGTATATGATTTAATGGGCGTCTCAGAGAAGCATCAAAATTGCTGATACCATTTGGTCGAAAATTTAACTTATAAGCATATTCACGTGAAATCTACCCTCAGTTAAAAGATACATCTCTCCAACATAGACACAGCCATTATAAATTGTTCAATGAAGCAAATGAAAAGTTTCTCTTTATCTGAAAGTCTGAAAAGAATTTTTCAAAAATCTTTGGAAATTTTCAATGAATGTACTCGACTCTAAAACTAGCACGGATTTAAGATAAACAATAAGAAAAAGCTTTCAGAAATCATATTCGAAAGCAAATGATATCAGCAATTCTTCTTCTATTTAAATGACAACGTACTTTATTCAACTTAATCCCGCAGAGGCAGCAAAAGTGTAAATTCTTAAATCCAAATTTGAGAATGAGATCTGTTTCAATTCTAATTAGAAAAAACAAATAATTTCTGCCTCTGACCGGAGGTGTGTTGACTTCTTTAAAAAAATTATCAAAAATCTCAAGGGGGATACGTAACGCGTGGCTGCCAGCTCAATATATTTTTATTACAAACTTACATTAGTGTCGTATTGTCGCCATTACTCAATTTCTGTTATTATCATTGTTTGTCTAAATCTCTATTAACTCCTAAAGAACTTCCATTCTATCAACAAACTAGTACCTTAGCATCTTCGAGACGACCCATTGCTTTCAGCAGGTTACCCAGATCACTTCGTACACAATACAGATCCTGAATCATTAAATTAATTAGCAAAAGACAAATAAGGAAGAAAACCATCTAGTGTAGAAATATTTAATTCAATATTCCCTGAAGAAGTAAATACTAAGAAATCTGCAAGAAGTGCCTCTCCCCTCTCCTCCCCCCGCCTTCACCCCCCGAAAAAAAAATCATAACTGTAATGAAACGTTTCACATATGTTACTTCATCATAAGTGATATAAAAACAAGTGTTCAATATTCATTAAACCAAACATGATGATATTAAATTTAAGACTCAATAACTTACGGGATTATACTGAAGAGCAGAAACATATGCATTCACAGCTTGATCCAAATCACCAGTGGCAACTAGCGCAGCTGCTAGATTGATATATCCATCAATAAAATCTGGTTTCAGTGATACCGCTATCTTATAGTTTTCCAGTGCTTCTGCTAATTGATTTCGCTCCTGCAAGTTAGATAATGTTTTAAAGGAGATAAGGAGAAAAAAAAAAAAAAATCGAAACCAACAACAATGATCGATGTTTAAAGACATTTGGTACAATGTTACCATTATCATCTGCTGACAATGTGGGGTGCTCTTAATCGCTTATCCAATGACACCTTTTCGCCTTGAATTGCCAACATAATAATAAGTATTAACAAATTACTTCTAACACCTCTTTAAAATTTGTAAGAAGAAAGTAGACAAATAACCGAACCTTATACACATTGCCCAAATTACTGTATGCCTCAGCACATTTCGGATTTGCTTTAATTGCCATTGTTGAAAATTGCATCGACCTTAATTTTTAAATAATTCATAAAATTAATTGCACAACACAAATAACTGCACTCCATTCTCTTCGCTACTTCAGTATGACATAAATGAATTACGAGGACTGTTGAAAAGATCGGATAACCTATTGAATTTCCGAAAAAGTTTAATTCTCTACATTTTTGGTGGAGATCTATCACAGGAACACAGTTGTAAAAGAAGCTATGATAAGTCATATCACGAAATAATTAACTTTGAAAAACAGAAAGTCAATACGTACTTATCCAGGTCTTTTAATTGAAAGTGTATCGAAGAGAGAAGAAGTAGCACACTGACGTTATTTGGATCAGCACGCCAAATTGTCACGCAATGTTGCTCAGCATTTGCATAATCACCGGCTTGATATTCTCGATGTGCCATATCAGTTAGTGCTATAAAAAAACAAGCTTAAAACTGATAAATTGCCTAAAACAAATCAAACTTCAAAATCTCGAAACTATTCATATCAAGCTATTAACTACTAATTAAATACTGATAATTTTTATCTTTACATAAAATAATGCCAACATCGTATACTTCCTCTCACCTTGTATATCAATATTCACTGTAACTGGTGCACCAGAACTTGTAAGTGTTGCTGCAACATGTTGCTGTTGTGCTTTTTGTACTGCAGCTACAACTGCTAGTGGTGAGCCAGAAATAACCTGCAGCTGAAAATATAATTCGTATTTGGAAAAGAGAATGACAAAGAGTGATGAAGTATCCATGAGAGTCCTGCACCAAAAAAAGTTGCAAGGATGCTTTCGAACTAGCAAATAAGTGATTTATAATATATAAACTATTTACTAGGAGTATTTAAATAGAATCCAATAGAACAATGTGGATATATGATAAGCATTGAGTGGCACATATCAATAAACATAGCATTATCTTTATATAACAACGAAGCATCCAGCTTGTTAATGATAATTTCTATTTTAGCTTTTCGAAATTATAAGTGTGGAGAAAAACTAATATTGCTTCAAACTACAACAAATCAAAATTCCACTTGCGTACAGTACCCACTATGACATTACATTATAGTGTCATAATTTCTCTTTTTAGAATTTTTTTGGTTACAATTCTTTTTTTTACAAAAAGGAAAAGTTGCATAACCAAGAACAAACATTTCTGGATGAGAATCTTTCTTATCAATCTAAAAGTTCAATCAAGACAAAATTCTGCTTCTAAGTAACGAAGCAAAAAAATCTGTTAAAGATTAGCTAGAATTCAACTCATCATTTCAGGTCCAAATTTTTTGATAATAACATTTATCACCAATGCAGAATTATCTCACGCCTTAATTATTCATAAAAAAAAACTGGAACCTTCTCGCCGCAATCTTCACTTTTCCTACAATTTTTGCTCTTCCTACCACTATCTGAAGCCTGAAAACGTTAGTTTTGAACTATGCTAAAATTTGCTAGCGAAAAATTTAAACCCTATTAAGGCTCGAAGTTATACTTCGAATCCTTCTACTGTAATTCCAGACTTTTGTCAGGTGACCAGGAGTTCTCTAATAGTTATCAAAAATCCTGAAATGTTAGGAATTTTTCTATAATAAAACGGTATACATACCTTTGCACCACTAAGATTAGCAGGATCATATGGATGAATGAAGTACTGTGGTTTGTTTGGATCCATCGTCAAAAACTAGACCAGAAAGACACCACAACTAACCAAATTATGCACTCTAAACAGAGAACGATTTGAAACAAAAAAAGGAAATGGCTTCCAATTAAACGCACAAAAATCGAATATCTACGTCATCAGTAGTAACAGTTTAACAATTTGAAGTTTAATGGAAAAAAGTAAATTTTTTAAATTACATTAAAATCGTATCGCAATTTATCACACTATCCCTGGTCTTTCTTAAAGTTGTGAGAAAGTGCAAAAAAAAAAGGAAAAGATGAAGAACAAGTCTCTATGTGCTTGATTTTTCATTTAACAATTATCAAGAAGTAAAATCTGACAAAATCTTAAGCTATTTTATCGGGTTAGAATCGATGATTATATGATTTGGATAGTGTTCAATTAATCTCTACAACAATATAAATTATTTCAATGATGAGAAAATTTATGCTACATAAAAGCAACCAAACTGCAAAAAAGTATTTCTTCTAATAATTAAATATAAAAACTAATATATAAGAAATTTTTGCAATTCTCTGTTGTTAAATACATTCTTTAACTTCTAATTTTTCTGCACAATGATTTGATTATTATCTTTGATCATTTTCTTTTCTCAGTCTAAGGATTCATTCTATTTAATAACAGTTATCATCCATTTAACATTTTTTGCTTCTTTTAATCAGCAAATATAATTTATATCATTCTGATATATAAAAAAAAAAAAAAAAACTTATTCCTGAGAAGTTCAAATATAAGCATACATTTAGCTTTTATACTTTTACATCTTTTCAATGTTCATAATAATTCCTGTCATTTATCAACGACAATAACGAATAGATAGCGTTAGATGATAATAATATGAAAAGAAATTAAAGTCGATAGAATGGAGGTTATATTTACTGATAAGAGTTTATTTACACATACATACACATGCATACGTACATACATATATATACCGAGTTGGCAAAGCCGAGTCACAAATGGATTCCAAAATAAGAGACAGACAGTTAAATAGCAGTTTAATAATCAAAATTTAAATTTCTCTACCGTTAGTTATATTTATTAAAAATTTCCCCGTCATATTAATTTACCCGCGTCCTTTTCCCATTTCCTTTCTTACCCAATTCTTTTTCCCCAATTTTTTATGCATTTATCAACTGATACCACCCATCTACTACTACTATACTATTACTACTGGTAACAAAGCCTGAAATATGCCAAAAGGTTGACTGATCAATTGATATGGCAAGAAGTTAGACACGTCGAGGAATGGAATGAAATATAATACTGAAAAAGGAGGGAGAGAAGACAGAAAAGAATAGGCGCATAATGGAATGTATAGGGATGGTGAGAGGGAGATGTTGAGATTATATGAAAATAGTACGAGTTAATAGAAATGAAGAAGAATCGGGTATTACTCTTTGTCCCTCTCTTCTGTTTCTGCCAGAAGATTGTTCAACAAATTGTTGTATCGTTTGTCATTTCAGACGGCGACGTGTCATTTCATTTTGGAGAGGCGTAAGTGTCGTCGGGAGGTTAGACGAGTTAGAGATGTTAGGTGAGTTAGATGACAGAGTGAGTATAAGGATGGTGATGGGATGTGGCACTGATTGATTGTTGGTGGCGGTTTGCTAAATTAGATTTTTTCGCAAAAGAAAGAGGGGAAAGGAATTATGTAATATGACGATATTATTGTCACTGACTAGTTATAAATTAAATTTTCAGAAACAAAAAAAAAGACCATAAAAATAGGTAGAGGATTGCTATTAATTCATTATTTGATATGAATGTATATCTGATAATATATCCATTATCACTTGTTAGCAGTGATAATAATTTATTAATGCAACCATTGATTTAAGCTGTTTACCAAAAAGAGCAAGAAATATAGAAATGATTACGCAGTTGTTAGTAATTTATATCCATTATGGATATAATCTGATAATATTGCTATCACCTTATCATTAAAATATAATTTACTCAATTAATCGCAGATGCATGTTGTAAAAACGGAATACATTGCATACGAATTGTACTCATACTATATTCAATAAATAGATACAATGAAATAGAGTTAATAAAATTGTATGTACAAATGATAAGTGTAATAGTATGGACAAATAATATTTCAACATTTGAGGTAACTTCTGTTGTTGTAATAAGTATCACTTAAATGACACACATTTTGATTAGCTGTCAATATGGAAAGTTGGCACAATGAATGGATAATGTAACTAGCACGTTAATTCATCTTTTTCTAGTTGATAAATGACAATGAGATATGAAAAATAAGACGTATAAATCAAAAGCACTTTAGCATTAAGATAAAAATTTTAAGTTGTAAATGTATTATCAGAGAGAAGAGTGAAGTGTACAGTTTTCTTCGGGCGTTATCAATGATGCAGATAGCCTAATTAAAATGTTAATAAGCAATGTTTAATAGAGTGCAGATAAATTGTAGGGTAAATATAGGTAAATAATATACTAGATAAATTAAACAACAAGATAGTATTAGTCTAGGGATGCAATGGAGTTGTATTGGAAATAGCAGATTTTGTCACTGTCGTTGTTAGTGTTGTTGATTTTGAACTTCCTTGCTGTGTAGTTGTTTCACGAAGATTCCTGAAGAAAATTAGTAGAAAAAAACAGCAACTGAAAAGTTTTTTAATTTGATTTCCATATATTTGCAATGATTGCTAAGAAAGCATTGGTAAATATAAATAGGCATGATTCACTTATTTCATAATATAATCAATTATATACGAATAAATTTGCTGATTAAGGAAAACCTTTCTGTTGTCTAATCAGTAGAATGTTTTGAATGTTTCCAAATGGATTTCATTGAAATTTCTCCACCAAATCACTAATTCTAACATAGAGGATTTATAATCTTACTTATCTGGTGAATTCATTGCTTCTAGCTCCAGCTCTTGTATTTTCTTCCTGAGAATAGCTAATTTTCCATGTGCTTCTTTTAGTTCTCGTCCTTGTAGAGTGCTAAAAAAATATTTACATATATGCTGGAGATTACATTTTTTTTTTTCAGTTTAATCAATTTATTAAATTATCACTTATTCAAATTTTAAAAGAAATGAATGAAAATACAGCAATTATAATAAAATGCATTTGCTTCTAACATCTGTGTTCCATTTTGGATTGTTACAATGTCCTTAATAACTTAACTCTACCAATAAACTTAATTAAAAATTTTTAGATGTTTTACAGAAAACAAAAAACAAAAAACAAAAAAAAAAAAAAAGGAAAACCATCATAAAATCCGAAATAGCATAATATTATTTCCGAAAAGACTATCAAATTTCTTTTTTAAAATAAATGCATCATATGTTGGTAAGAAGCTTCTTCAAAGACAAACGAAACACTTTGTTCATCTTTTTTATTGCAATAATTGATTTTTTGCTTCTCAGATATCATTCTCTCTATATGCAGTTTCATTATCTTAATTCAAAAAAGAGAAACTTCAAGTTTTTGAATCAATTAGACTGTTATATTCTGTTCCATATGCCTAGTCATCATCAATTATTATACATTCTAACTAACATAGCTGAACAGGAAATGCAAGCCAAATTATCGAAGCAAAAATGCACTTTTTCTGTAATTGAATAAATTAACCTGTTCTCTAACAATTTTATTTTATGCCTAATAACTTATCGTGCTTTAATTTTATCTTACTTTTGTCCTAAATTGGTATTGCATTTTTCTCATTTTATGATCAGAATAATAATCATCATCTCATTTTCCAAAACTCGATAATTTTTCTACGTATCAATCGCTAAACCTTTCAATATATATTTCTTGTCTATTCAAAATAATCTTTTATTACTTGTTTGAAAGAATAAAATACCTCCTCACTATCTAAATAATTTTCAAGAGCATTTGCATCACTATTAATATACTCCGATATTGTTTATATAATTTTGTTACCCTAATTATTCTCTCTCCTTCCGTCATTCATTTTTGCGCCCTCATTTTGCTCACTCTTACTACTTCCATGTACACATTAATATCTATGCAAAATCAAAATCAGAGGAAATTTTCGAAAATCTTACAAATAACAAACAAAAAAAAAATTAAGATAAAACGAAAACATTCCAAACTTAAAACAAAAATATAAATGGAAAATTTACAGTTTAGTTTCCAAATCATATTTTAACTCTTTCAATTTTTGCATTTCACCAGTAAATCGTTGCCGTTCTTGTGCAGCTGATATAAGTTCTGCATTTTTCTCTTGCAATAGATCTTCTAACTCTTCAACAGTTATTTTTAGTGCACTTCCTGTGACTTGTTCTACTTGCAAACGATCTGCTGAATTGGCAAGTTCTGTTTCCAGCTGTAAATATGCATTTTGTAAATTCTACTTTCTGAATGAAAAAAAAAAAGACTCATGAATAAATAGCTTCATGAATAAATATCATTCAATAAATAGCTTGATGAATAAATAACATTCAGTATAATTATTTCAATGATATGGAAGATATCGGCGTTTTGATAATTAATCTTTTAATCCACAAATAGCATTCTTCATTCAAAAAGCAAGACTTAATTTCTTTTGTTAGTCACTCTTAATTCTTGAAAGAATGAAAATATATAACGAATAACAGAATAGCATAAATTAAAAGATTATAACTAAATTGACATATAAGCTTGTAGCACAACCATTCTTCGCACTAATTATTCATTATATCAACCAAGGAATATCAGTTCATTACAAAATCAATAGATATTAAAAGAAAAGAAAAAAAAAAACAAAAAAACTAATACCTTCATTAGTTTCACTTCGGCAACTTTTAAGTCATTATTCAAATCCAGTATTTGTGCTTCCTTCTCTAATAACTGAAAAATTATCACTGCTTATTGCTTTTGAAGGAATCATTTTATGAAATATAAACTGGACAATGAGTGAAAAAAAAAAAAAAAATGCTCATAAAAATGTTCGGAAAAATGGAAAAATAACGTATTGAAAAAAAAAAAAAAAAAAAAAACGATGTAAAATA